CCATTCAACGCCTTATTGCCACCTAATGTCTTTAAATGGACTTTGATGCCAGCAGTGACCCCTGATCTCTGCCCTGCCAGCGGTGACCCCTGTCCTCTGCCCTGCCAGCGGTGACCCCTGTCCTCTGCCCCGCCAGCGGTGAACCCTGTCCTCTGCCCCGCCAGCGGTGACCCCTGTCCTCTGCCCTGGCAGCGGTGACCCCTGTCCTCTGCCCCGCCAGCAGTGACCCCTTTCCTCTGCCCGCCAGCAGTGACCGCTGCCCTCTGCCTCACCAGCAGTGACCCCTGCCCTCTGCCCCGCCAGCAGTGACCCCTGCCCTCTGCCTCACCAGCAGTGACCCCTGCCCTCTGCCTCACCAGCAGTGACCCCTGCCCTCTGCCCCGCCAGCAGTGACCCCTGCCCTCTGCCTCACCAGCAGTGACCCCTGTCCTCTGCCTCGCCAGCAGTGACCCCTGTCCCACTCTCAGCAGTGACCCCTGTCCTCTACCCTGCCATCAATGACCCCTGTCCTTTGCCCTGCCAGCAGTGACCCCTGTCCTTTGCCACGCCAGCAGTGACCCCTGCCCTCTGCCCCGCCAGCAGTGACCCCTGTCCTTTGCCCCGCCAGCAGTGACCCCTGTCCTCTGCCCCGCCAGCAGTGACCCCTGTCCTCTGCACTGGCAGCAGTGACCCTGTCCTCTACCCTGCAAGCAGTGACCCTGTCCTCTACCCTGCAAGCAGTGACCCTGTCCTCTGCCCCGCCAGCAGTGACCCATGTCCTCTGCCCCGCCAGCAGTGACCCCTGTCCTCTGCACTGGCAGCAGTGACCCCTGTCCTCTGCCCTGCTGATCTCCCATCCTCTGCCCGCTGACATTTTTTAAGGCACTCCCACATCAGATAGGCTAGATCCAGCCCTGTGCACTAGGGGAGAGGAAGCAAATGTGAGGGGGGGTTTGAATCAGAGAAAAACGCTCGCTCCTGTGATTGTGGGGGTGAACAGTAATGTGTAGGCCTCACTTAGCAACATCCTAGCAACATCCTGGGAGTATTCCAGGCAGGCTTTAAGAGGTACATAAAGGTCCTACACCCAGGGGCGGACTGACAACTCATGGGGCCCCCGGGCAATAGGGGATCATGGGGCCCCTGTGTCCTTGCCCAAACTCAAAAAAGCCTATGAAAAAGGTACCAGGGGCATCTCATGGGGCCCCCTACTGACCCCGGGCCCTCAGGCAGTTGCCGAGTTTCCAAATGGTCAGTCCGCCCCTGCCTACACCTATAACAAGGGCATCATTCAACTTTGGTCAGAGCTGCACAGTTTGTTTTCAACCCACAGACACCCCTAACCTGCATAGGCAGTTTTTTTTTTTTTTTTAAAGTGAACTATCCCTTTAAGGGGGAGTGGTTGGAGGCTGTGAATTTGATGCTGCCAGCCCACTACATTCTAGAATCCTTCAGAAGGCAGGGGGGGCAATCAAATCCACATTCCGTGAAAGTCAGAGCAGACCTAGAGCAATCCCAGGCAGAGCCACTGATTACAAGGGAGCCAAAAGAACTACATTTACCTAGCCTAGCCTGCGAACTCTGTAGGAGGGGGCTACATCTGCACCGCCCCCCCCCCCCCCCCCGACAGATTCATGTAATTGTTGGGAAGGTGTATAGGAATCTGTTGCAGACTGTTGTCTCTGTAGCCCTACCCCCTTAGGGGTCGCTGATGAATTGGGTCCCCCTATAGTCCTGCACAGCCAGGCAATCTGCATTCTCCAAACAAGTCAGTAAATCAGTCCTTGAGCTTTGGTTTTGATATCTATTGAGGGGATTAGAACTGGGATAGGGTAATGGGGGGGGGGGGGGGGTAATAGGATGGCCAAGGGAACCGATAACTGAGGACAAACCTCCTGGGACTATTCACAAGCTTCTCTTCTGCAACACAGTCTCTGTTGGAGAGCTCGCCGGCATGTCCTAGCCAGGGGCAGACTGACCATCTGGAAACTCAGGCACTGCCCGAGGGCCCGGGGTCAGTAGGGGGCCCCATGAGATGCCCCTGGTATCTTTTTCATAGGCTTTTTTGAGTTTGGGCAAGGACACAGGGGCCCCATGATCCCCTATTGCCCGGGGGCCCCATGAGTTGTCAGTCTGCCCCTGGTCCTAGTTGTACCACCCCAGACCCCAGATGAACTCCTCTTCACCCAGCAATCTGGAGACTGTTGCTGCCCAGGGGATCTGGCTCCTGTTCCTTTCACCCCTCGCCTACCGCGTACTTTCACCCCCTTCCTGCCCAGGCCAATTTTCAGCTTTCAGCGCTGTTGCACTTTGAATGACAATTGCGCGGTCATGCAGCACTGCACCCATATGACATTTTTATCCTTTTTTCACACAAATACAGCTTTCTTTTGGTGGTATTCAATGGCTGCTGGGGGTTTTATTTTTACACTATAAACAAAAAAGAGCAAAAAAAAAAAAAAAGTTTTTCTTTGTTTCTATAATAATATTTTGCAAACAGGTAATTTTTTCTCCTTCACTGATGTGTCTTGATGAGGCTGCTCTGATGGGCACTGATAGGCAGCACTGATGGACACTGATAGGTGGCATGGATAGGTAGCATTGATGTGCACTGACAGGTGGCACTGATGATACTGCACTGATATGCAACAATGATGGGCACTGATAGACAGCACTGATAAGCAGCATTGACGAGCACTGATGGGTGCCACTGACTGGCGGCACTGCTGGGCACTGACTGGTGGCACTGCTGTGGGGCACTGCTCAGTGGCATTGTTGGACATAGGTGGGTGGCACTACTAGACATTGATGGGCACTTGTGGCCAGCACTGCTGGGCACAGGTGGGAGGCACTGCTGGGCACTGATCATGTAGATTGCCAGATGCGCGCCCCCTCCCCCCCCCGGGGCGCGCGGGAGGGACCGTTCTGGGAGGACATCATATGACGCCCTCCCAGAACTGGACAACCGCGCTGTAGCCATCATTGGGTTACAGTGCGGTTGGCAAGTTGTTAAATGAGGTGAGCAGTCGCCAGTAGGGGGCTAATCTAGTTTCCCACCAGAGTGTTCCTTCCCCTCTCTGCCCGGGGGTGCAGGTGTACTCGCTCAAATCTCCTGTACTGCTTGCGCGTTGGCTGCTGCTACCAGGCCTATCAGCTGGGCTGCTCCTTCCCTACCATGCAGGTGGTCCTCGCTCAGGGGGCTAGTGAGCTCCAAGTTTTTTGCCTCTACAGCTCCAGGCAGGCCCCGTCCCACTAGGCCTCCTGGCAGCCTTCCTCCTCCAGCCTCACATCTTCCTCCAACTCTCTACACCTCTCCCATCACCACACTCCTCCTACTGAGCAGGCTCCAGCACTTTTAAGGGAGTCCCAGCCCCTTGCCAAGCCTCCTGTTGGGGATTGACTGAGGCCCCTCAAGAGTGCAGCCAGTCACTCCTCAGATCCACCCACTGCCTCTTCCTCTGTCCTCTGCTTTGTCAGCAGTGACCTCTGTCTTCTGCCCTGCCAGTGATGTCCCCTCTTTTCTGTCCTGCCAGTGATGACCCCCGTTTTCTGTCCTGCCAGTGATGACCCCCATTTTCTGCCCTGCCAGTGATGACCTCTGTCCTCCATCCTGCCAGTGGTGACCCCTGTCCTCTGCTCTGCCAGTGATGACCCCTGTCCTCTGCCCTGCCAGTGATGACCCCTGGCTTTTTCCCTGCCAGTGATGACCCCTGGCTTTTTCCCTGCCAGTGATGACCCCTGGCTTTTTCACTGCCAGTGATGACCCCTGGCTTTTTCCCTGCTTTTTCCCTGCCAGTGATGACCCCTGGCTTTTTCCCTGCCAGTGATGACCCCTGGCTTTCTCCCTGCCAGTGATGACCCCTGGCTTTCGCCCTGCCAGTGATGACCCCTGGCTTGCGCCCTGCCAGTGATGATCCCTGTCCTCCACCTTGCCACCAGTGACCACTGCCCTCCGCCCTGCCACCAGTGACCCCTGCCCTCCGCCCTGCCACCAGTGACCCCTGTCCTCTGCCCTGCCACCAGTGACCCCTGACCTCCGCCCTGCCAGTGATGACCCCTGTCCTCCGCCCTGCCACCAGTGACCCCTGTCTGAGAAGGCTCCAACACTTTTAAGGGAGTCCCAGCCCCTTGCCAAGCCTCTTGTTGGGGATTGGCTGAGGCGCCTCAAGAGCACAGCCAGCCACTCCTCAGTTCCACCCACTGCCTCCACGGCCTTCCTCCAAAAGCCTCAGAGCAGGGGGAAATTCCACAGGGGCTGACCTGCAGAGTCTCGCAGCCCTGACCAAAATTCGACCCCCCTGTTATCTCACCCGAGCTGCTAACCAGCTCCTGTCTAACCATTGGGATCTAGCTCCCCCTAGCTAAACTAGTAGGGCATTACATCTCCATCAGCTGTCGAGCTCCAGGCACCCGGGCGCTCATATGTGAGCGGTCACCATTGAAATACAGGCGGTTGTGTTTGTTGAGAGTTCTGTAGCTGTGAGTTCCAGGTGTGAATGCTTCCTGAATGCCTAATGCAGTAGCAGCAGATAACACATTCAGCTAAAGGAACCTCAATAACACACTGATTGAGATGCTTGGCTGGGATTTCCGCAAGTCGTTGTTTTTTGTGACTCACAAGTCGAGGAGATTAGTGGGGCTTCCTTGTTTTCCGCAACGTTCGTCCTGCCGCGATGGCGGCGATCCAAGGCCAGGATTCACAGGAACTTTTATTAGCGTATTATGGACAGCTCAGTTTTTCCTCCATAAATCGCAGGGATTCTTTTCCATTTCCCTTGTTAGCGATGTGAGCTGGATGTCAGCCCGCAGCCTTTGTAGTTCACGCATTTCCAATGCTGGGATAGCAACGTTCGACCCTTCCCCCGCTAACACCAATTAGCACTGCTATGGCTGTAATAATGGCCGTCCAGTCTGCAGCTGTTCCACATCTGGACAGAGACCAGCCAGCTGATCGAATGTATCTGGAGCCCACGTGTGGAAGTCGAATGATAAACAAAATCCATAGAGCAGAAAACCACTGTGCACTCCTCTTCAGTGCCTGAGCTCGTCTGTACGGCTGTGTTAGCACATGCAGTTGGGGGGTGGTAAAAAACAAAATCTATAGAAAAGAAAACCAATGTGCACTCCTCTTCAGTGTCTGAGCCAGGGGCGGACTGACAACTCATGGGGCCCCCGGGCAATAGGGGATCATGGGGCCCCTGTGTCCTTGCCCAAACTCAAAAAAGCCTATGAAAAAGGTACCAGGGGCTTCTCATGGGGCCTCCTACTGACCCCGGGCCCTCGGTCTGTGCCCGAGTTCCAAATGGTCAGTCCGTCCCTGGTCTGAGCTCTTCTGTTCGGCTGTGTTAGCACTTGCAGATGGGGGCGGTAAAAAACAAAATGCATAGAAAAGAAAACCAATGTGCACTCCTCTTCAGTGCCTGAGCCAGGGGTGGACTGACAACTCATGGGGCCCCCGGGCAATAGGGGATCATGGGGCCCCTGTGTCCTTGCCCAAACTCAAAAAAGCCTATGAAAAAGGTACCAGGGGCATCTCATGGGGCCCCCTACTGACCCCGAGCCCTCGGTCTGTGCCCGAGTTCCAAATGGTCAATCCACCCCTGGCCTGAGCTCTTCTGTTCGGCTGTTAGCACTTGCAGATGGGGCGGTAAAAAAAAAATTAAAATCCATAGAGCACAGTAAAAATCAAAATCCAAAACCACTGTGCACGCCTCTTCAGTGCCTGAGCTCTTCTGTTAGCACTTGCAGATGGGGGTGGTAAAAATCAAAATCCATAGAACAGAAAACCACTGTGCACGCCCCTTCAGTGCCTGAGCTCTTCTGTTAGCACTTGCAGATGGGGGCGGTAAAAATCAAAATCCATAGAACAGAAAACCAATGTGCACGCCTCTTCAGTGCCTGAGCTCTTCTGTTAGCACTTGCAGATGGGGGCGGTAAAAAACAAAATCCATAGAACAGAAAACCACTGTGCAAGCCTCTTCAGTGCCTGAGCTCTTCTGTTCAGCTGTGTTAGCACTTGCAGATGGGGGTGGTAAAAAACAGGTTTTCGAGCTGCGTTTTTACTGCCGCCCCCAAAGCTGCAAAGGCATCCCAATGAGGTCATGCACATGCTGCAAAAATGATCCCCTTTGTTGTGTTCTGAATGCAAGACTGCCCACCAAATGTAACCGACTCTGGCTGCACCACAACCGCATGCATTGCAATAGTACGAGCTTTTAGGGGTTAAAATGGATTTTGAGAAGGTGACTCCTCACCACTGGTCAAACGCCCTCTGAAAAACAGGCCACCACAGAAGGCTCTTCAGAGGGCAAAAAAATCCCCAAATTTTGTCGAAATCTGTATTTCCTATGATGGACAGCTCCACCCAGTGGCCATAAGTTCTATTTTCCTGATTGCAGTATTTTAAGAAAATGCTGCATTTTGGCCACTGGGGGGAGCTGACAATGATAGGAAATACAGATTTTAGATAAAATAAGGGGATAGTTTGTGATGTGTGAATGATTGAGGTATTAACACAGAAAAATTAACACACCCCTTACAAAGCATTTAAAGTGTTCCTGAACCCCCCACAGTACAATCAGTCTGTAGATACAGTAAAGCATGCTTGTTATACTCACTGTGGGACTAAGGGGTTAATCCTCCGCATTGTGTAAAAAATGCTGTTTGATCCTGTCTTCTCTGATCCTCCCTTTCTTCTACTGTCCCCAATCCATCTGCTGATAGAGCAGAGCCTTGGGGACAAGCTGCACATGCTCAGTTTGGTGAGCATTGCTAGAGAGGTTTTTTTTTTTTCTTGGGAGGGCACATGTGATCAGCACAGGGCCAATCAGCATTGTCCAGACAGAGGGTCAGGGGTCATGCAGCCTCAGGGGACAATCAGAGGAGACTGAAAACTCCTCCTGCAAGCTTCAACCAGTGCTCTGCTGACCACTGATAGAAGTCACAAGACTGCTCTATACTGCTGATGAGAGCAGATATAGTGAATGCGGGGGTCCGGGGAGACAAGATATAGTGAATGGAGGGTCCGGGGAAAGCGGATATAGTGAATGCGGGGTCCGGGGAGAGCGGATATAGGGAATGCGGGGTCCGGGGAGAGCGGAAATAGTGAATGCGGGGTCCGGGGAGAGCGGATATAGTGAATGCGGGGTCCGGGGAGAGCGGATATAGTGAATGCGGGGTCCGGGGAGAGCGGATATAGTGAATGCGGGGTCCGGGGAGAGCGGATATAGTGAATGCGGGGTCCGGGGAGAGCGGATATAGTGAATGCGGGGTCCGGGGAGAGCGGATATAGTGAATGCGGGGTCCGGGGAGAGCGGATATAGGGAATGTGGGGTCCGGGGAGAGCGGATATAGTGAATGCGGGGTCCGGGGAGAGCAGATATAGTGAATGCGGGGTCCGAGGAGAGCGGATATAGTGAATGCGGGGTCCGAGGAGAGCGGAAATAGTGAATGCGGGGTCCGGGGAGAGCGGATATAGTGAATGCGGGGTCCGGGGAGAGCGGATATAGTGAATGCGGGGTCCGGGGAGAGCGGATATAGTGAATGCGGGGTCCGGGGAGAGCGGATATAGTGAATGCAGGGTCCGGGGAGAGCAGATATAGTGAATGCGGGGTCCGGGGAGAGCGGATATAGGGAATGCGGGGTCCGGGGAGAGCGGATATAGTGAATGCAGGGTCCGGGGAGAGCAGATATAGTGAATGCGGGGTCCGGGGAGAGCGGATATAGTGAATGTGGGGTCCGGGGAGAGCGGATATAGTGAATGCAGGGTTCGGGGAGAGCAGATATAGTGAATGCGGGGTCCGGGGAGAGCGGATATAGTGAATGCGGGGTCCGGGGAGAGCGGATATAGTGAATGCGGGGTCCGGGGAGAGCGGATATAGTGAATGCGGGGTCCGGGGAGAGCAGATATAGTGAATGCGGGGTCCGGGGAGAGCCGATATAGTGAATGCGGGGTCCGGGGAGAGCGGATATAGTGAATGCGGGGTCGGGGAGAGCGGATATAGTGAATGCGGGGTCCGGGGAGAGCGGATATAGTGAATGCGGGGTCCGGGGAGAGCGGATATAGTGAATGCGGGGTCCGGGGAGAGCGGATATAGTGAATGCAGGGTCCGGGGAGAGCAGATATAGTGAATGCGGGGTCCGGGGAGAGCGGATATAGTGAATGCGGGGTTCGGGGAGAGCAGATATAGTGAATGCGGGGTCCGGGGAGAGCCGATATAGTGAATGCGGGGTCCGGGGAGAGCGGATATAGGGAATGCGGGGTCCGGGGAGAGCCGATATAGTGAATGCGGGGTCCGGGGAGAGCGGATATAGGGAATGCGGGGTCCGGGGAGAGCGGATATAGTGAATGCAGGGTCCGGGGAGAGCGGATATAGTGAATGCAGGGTCCGGGGAGAGCGGATATAGTGAATGCAGGGTCCGGGGAGAGCGGATATAGTGAATACAGAGTCCTGAGTTTAGGAACACTTTAAGATCCTCCCACATTACCGACATTCGTATGCAGAGAAAATGTATCTACATATTACAAAATGACAGTTTAATTGTATTTACTGTGTCTACCAGGTAACACAAACAGTGTCAGGACAAGGTCATCTAGCGCCCAGGGCAAAAATGCCAAACCGTGCCCCCCCTCCCCTCTTTCCCCACCCCTCCCATAAAAATGTATGAGCATTATATGTCAGCAAAATCCCCCCCCCTCCAAAAAAATATTTGAGCACTAATCTTCACACTGACCCCCTAAGCATAAATTCCCTTTGCAAGCTCCCCCCTCTTCCAGTACAACACCCCCCTCCAGCTTAAATCCTCCCCCTCCCCAAATCCCCCTCCTAGCATAAATCCTCTACTCCTCAGATTTCACCTCTGAGTCTAAATCCTCTCCCTCCCCCCCTCCAAATCCAACTCTTTCAGCACAAATTTCCCCCCAGATCCCCTCTCCTAGCTGTAATATTCCCCCCTGCCCCTCCAAATTTCATCCCTACTAGCTTCCTTTACCAGACCAAGCTGTCCAGCAAAAAAGTGGCAGTCAGAGGGTTGAGAAAGACCATTTACCACTGACGGGTGCTGACAATGATCAGCTTATATTTATTTATATAAAACCTTTGTTCAAAACGGAAAAACACTGTTGCTGTAACTGATTATAAAGTGTTATCTGGAGTTCGATTTGTTAGTCCATCTCTGCTAGTGCATCTACCAATCCCCTCCCCCCAAGACTGACAATGCTACTGTCCAATGGTGTCTGCATTGCTCCTCCATCCAGAGCGGAAGCAGCCTAAAGCCTAGTACACATGATCTGAAAATCGGACGAAAAATACGGCTTTCGAAGCACTCCTTCTATAATCTGATCCTTAGTACACAGCTTTGTCCGAAATTATTCGACAAGCACGAACGTTTTTCTTGTACAGTACCAAATCGTACAATTTATAGTTTAATTGGTACAGTTTTCATCTGAAAATACAATAAAAATACATGACATCACTTCAAGATTTTCTTTGTATCGTACAAGAATTTTCGTAACTTTAGTAACCTCTTCACTTCCCATATGAGACTACAGGCAAAAAAAAAAAAAAAGAAAGAAGATAATTCATCCGATATTCTCATCGTTTGTAAGGGGCTTAAGACAGCAAGTGTGTTACTGGCCAGATTACCAGGTGAAAATAAAGGGGAAAAAAACAAAGAAAACTAATGCAGCCATCACATCTAAGATCTGGTAAGGTGCAACATATTACATTTTTAGACTAATGCAGGCCATAGACAGGTCGAAAATCGGTCGATTTTTCGGCCAATTTTCGCACCGTTAGTGGGTTAATTGGTCGGCTGTTTTTCGGGTTTTGGCACTTTTTTATTGGTAAAGTGGGAAAATTTGCGGCAGATTTTAACAATCGGCTGATTTTCCCGGCAATGATGGGCAAATTGGCCGATCATTTTACTGATAAAAAAATCTGCGTATGAGCCGTGACCTGCAAGAAAAAGAAAAAGAAGAAGAAAAAGAAGAAGAAAAAGAAGAAAAAGAATTCCAGTCCGCTATTATATTTTACATGAAAAAGTCTTGCGGTTGCAACAATGTATCCATTTGTATCCGAATAAAAACATCTGTATATGAAATGGATACAAATGGATACATTGTTGCAACCGCAAGACTTTTTCTTGTAAAATATAATAGCGGAGCTCTCTGCAGGGACAGAAGTAAAAATGCCGGCTGTAGACGGGACGGGCGATTTTTTTACCATTGGTGGGAACGTCGGCCTATTGAACAACCGATTTTTCATTTTAAAAAAAGAAACGCAGATTTTCGACCCGTCTATGACTTGCATTAGCATCCGTTTTAAAAAAAAACGACACACATACACTAGATTACCAAAAGTATTGGCCCCGCCCTCCAAATCATGTGATTCAGGTGTTCCAATCCCCTCCATATCATGTGATTCAGGTGTTCCAATCCCCTCCATGGTCACAGGTGTATACAATCAAGCCCCTAGGCATGCAGACGGCTTCTACAAACATTGGTGAAAGAATGGGTCGCTCTCAGGAGCTCAGTGACTCCAAGCGTGGTCCCGTGATAGGTGGCCACCTGTGCAATAAGTCCATCCGTGACATTTCCTGGCTACTAAATATTCCACGCTCAACTGTTAGTGGGATTATAACAAAGTGGAAGCAACTGGGAACAACAGCAACTCAGCCACCAAGTGGTAGGCCAAGTCACATGACAGGGCGGGGTCAGCGCATGCTGAAGCGCACAGTGCGCAGAAGTCGCCAACTGTCTGCAGAGTCAATGGCTAAAGACCTCCAAACTTGGTGTGGCCTTCAGATGAGCCCAACAACAGTGCGTAGAGAGCTTCATGGAATGGGTTTCCATGGCCGAGCAGCTGCATCCAAGCCTTACATCACCAAGTGCAATGAAAAGCGTTGGATGCCGTGGTGTAGAGTACGCTGCCACTGGACTCTAGAGCAGTGGAGATGTGTTCTCTGGAGTGACCAATCATGCTTCTCTATCTGGCAATCCGATGGATGTGTCTGGGTTGGGTGGTTGCCAGGAAAACGGTACTTGCCTGACTGCATTGTGCCCAGTGTCAAGTTTGGTGGAGGGGGGATTATGGTGTGGGGTTGTTTTTCAGGGGTTGGGCTTGGCCCCCTAGTTCCAGTGAAGGCAACTCTTAAGGCGACATTTTGGACAATTTCATGCTCCCAACTTTGTGGGAAGAGTTTGGGGATAGCCCCTTCCTGTTCCAACATGACTGCCCACCAGTGCACAAAGCAAGGTCCATAAAGACATGGAGGGGCCAGTTTGGGGTGGAGGAACTTGACTGTCCTGCACAGAGTCCTGACCTCAACCCCATAGAACACCTTTGGGATGAATTAGAGCGGAGACTGTGAGCCAGGCCTCCTCCCCCGACATCAGTGCCTGACCTGACAAATGTGCTTCTGGAAGAATGGTCCAACCTTCCCATAGACACCCTCCTAAACCTTGTGGACGGCCTTCCCAGAAGAGTTGAAGCTGTTATAGCTATAAAGGGCGGGGCCAACTCAATATTGAACCCTACGGACTAAGACTGGGGGGCCATTAAAGGTCATGTGTGTGGAAAGGGCGGGGCCAACTCAATATTGAACCCTACGGATTAAGACTGGGGGGCCATTAAAGGTCATGTTTGTCGAAAGGGCGGGGCCAACTCAATACTTTTGGAAATATCATGTATATGGTCATGTATATGGTAGGGAGACAAGGCTCTACTTGTGGTAAACCACACAGCAAGGATGTCCCGCTGAAGAGGGTCTGCTTCATAACCACAGAGCCAAGGAGATTTCACAGAATCTGGGAACGTACAGAGTCTCTCATTCTGAAAGAATATAACAAATACAGGACAAAAAATAATCTAGATGGATGGAGTATAAAAAAACAAGATATTCTAAGGTTGCCACATATACACAAAATTGTTTAACTTGCTTCCTGATCTAGCCAAAAACCCCCAGACTACGAGGCTTTCCTCTAATGTCTAGATCATTTTAAAATCAGAATATTTTATAATCCGAAAGGGAAATTATGAAGATTCAATGAAGACAACACAACGAGGAACGGAACTAGACGCAATGACACAATAAAATGACCAATAAAAGCAATAAAAAACTGAATAAATCTATACTCTAACAAACCATCCATACTGATAAAATACAACATAGAATAAATAACACCCATTAAAAAGTAACAGAAAATCAAACAACCGATGCAAATATTTTATAGAATGATTCTTAAAAGTATGTTAATCACTAAACCGCACCAACTGATGCTTTTAAATATTCAATATTATATTATTATATTATATTTTACGGTGTTTTGTGGGCACTATTATAACATATATCATTCGTTTGGTTATTTTTTGTCACATATAATTTATGTCACTTAATATTGGTGTAAATGAGTTTGCACATAGAGACCATCAAAAGGTAATTAAGGTGTAAGTTCACCTTTTTATAAAAAAATGAATAAGTGAACTAGCCCCCCTACACCCTCCTGACCCCCCCAGTCCCCGCTGTACTTACTTCCATGGCTGACGAGCTGTCAGTGCCTACGAAGTCATTGCAGCGGTCCAGATTTTTTTTAAAATCCTCCCCTCCTCTGGGACAGATCAGAGCGGTTCTGATAGGTCAAAGTGGTCACATGCCAGCTCTGACTAAACGGTCGCATGCCATGCAGTAGGAATTTTTTGTGAAAAAGTGAAATTACACTGGCTTGGTGTACAGATTCTGGAGATGCCGGAGCTCAGAGCAGCTCATTTTTATGCTGGGAAACAACCATCAATGTGACAGGAATTATGGTTGCTAGGATGCTGGTGGCAGGTGGCTTCCTAGCAACCGGTGACTCGTCTGGTTAGGGGATTTCCAAGCCCACATTTGGAAGTAAACAAAGGAGTAAGAGATGCTTAATGATGTCATTATCTAAATAGGGGTAATAATGAAGAATCTCCTTGGCTGTTGAATGGGGTCAGGGATGCGTCATGGGAGGCACAGCCTACAGCCTCATAGCAACCAATGACAAAATGCAACATCCAATGACAAAATGCAACAACCAATGACAAAATGTGACAACCAGTGACAAAATGTGGCAACCAATAACAAAATGCAACAACCAATGACAAAATGCGACAACCAGTGACAAAATGCGACAATCAATGACAAAATGCGACAACTAATGACAAAATGCGACAACCAGTGACAAAATGCAACAACCAATGACAAAATGCGGCAACCAATAACAAAATGCAACAACCAATGACAAAATGCGACAACCAGTGACAAAATGCGACAATCAATGACAAAATGCAACAACTAATGACAAAATGCAACAACCAGTGACAAAATGCGACAACCAGTGACAAAATGCGACAACTAGTGACAAAATGCGGCAACCAGTGACAAAATGCGACAACTAATGACAAAATGCAACAACCAGTGACAAAATGCAACAACCAATGACAAAATGTGACAACCAGTGACAAAATGTGGCAACCAATAACAAAATGCAACAACCAATGACAAAATGCGACAACCAATGACAAAATGCGGCAACCAGTGACAAAATGTGGCATCCAATGACAAAATGCAACAACCAGTGACAAAATGTGGCAACCAATAACAAAATGCAACAACCAATGACAAAATGCGACAACCAGTGACAAAATGCGGCAACCAGTGACAAAATGCGGCAACCAGTGACAAAATGTGGCATCCAATGACAAAATGCAACAACCAGTGACAAAATGCAACAACCAGTGACAAAATGTGGCAACCAGTGACAAAACGCAGACAAAATGTGGCATCCAATGACAAAATGCAACAACCAATGACAAAATGCAGCAACCAATGACAAAATGCAACAACAATGCATCCAAATGACAAAATGCAGCAACCAATGACAAAATGCGGCAACAAACCAGTGACAAAATGCGGCAACCAATGGCAAAATGCGGCAACCAGTGACAAAATGCGGCAACCAATGACAAAATGCGGCAACCAAGGACAAAATGCGGCAACCAGTGACAAAATGCGGCAACCAAGGACAAAATGCGGCAACCAGTGACAAAATGCGGCAACCAGTGACAAAATGCGGCAACCAATGACAAAATGCGGCAACCAATGACAAAATGCTCCTCCTAGGGCTGAACAGGCGTGTCCATGGAATTTACCTACGACCTCAGCGCTACCCCCACCACCATTCTTCCAATAAATTCCTGTACCTGTCTTTAATATGTACTGTACATGAATCTGTCACAGGCACCAACATTTGTCCTGTGGAGGCACGACACCAGGCTAAAGCGCATTGTACACACTGCTTATGAATTCCCCCAAACTATTCACACCCAGCCCCGGCATCCCTTTAAGCAAGGATCGCTGATTATGTGACCACTGTGATTGGCTGTCACAGGGGTCACATGATTCAAATCTAGTCCCACCAGCTACCGATCGTTAGTAAGAAAAGAGAGCTGACTTCCCACATGGAAGAAAAAATATATTTTAAATATATTTGAAAAATATTCTTCCAAAATATATTGACATATATTTGAAATACTACAAATTTGGCCTTGTTCAAATATATAAAAAAAAAAAAAAAAAAAAAATATATATATATATATATATATATACACACATACATACATACACACACTGTATGTTGAAATGCTTTTTTTCATATATTACAAAATATATGAAAGGTATTTTTAAAAATATTCTTCCAAAATATATTGAATATTTTGACATATATTTGAAATACTACAATTTTGGCCCTTTCTTGAAAAGTAATTTTAAAAATATTCTTCCAAAATATATTGACATATATTTGAAATACTACAATTTTTGCCTTGTTCAATATATTTTAAAAAAAAAATATATATATATATTTTTATATATATATATATATATTATATATATATATATACTGTATGTTGAAATGCTTTTTTTTTCATATATATTACAAAATATATATGAAAAGCATTTTTAAAAATGAATTTTCAAATATACTGTATGTCTTTAAAAATACATTCAATCTACCTTTTTGGAATGCATTTACCAATATATGTAAAAATATGTTAAAATGCCTTTTTTATATATAAAGAAAAATCTGAAGAATATATTTTAAAAAATATATATTTTTAAAAATATTTTTCATATATTTTGTAATATATAAAAAACGCATTTCAACAAAAACAGTATATAGATATATATATCTATATATATCTATATTTTTTTTTAATTAATATTTATTTATTTATTTCAGGTACATATATAGCGCTGTCAATTTACTCAGCGCTTTACACATATATTGAACATTCATATCAGTCCCTAACCCTCAAGGGGCGTACAATCTAAGGTCCCTACCTCACATTCAAATATATATATCGATATAAATATATATAGATATATATATCTATCTATATACAGTATATATATATATATAGATATATATATATATATTTATATATATATTTATGTATTGAAATATATTGAATACGGCCAAAATTGTAGTATTTCAAATAAATGTCAATATATTTGGGAAGAATATTTTTCAAATATATTTTTAAATATATTTTTCTTCCATGTGGGTTTGACATCTCCGTCTCAATGTTGAGAAAGCGCAGGAACATCAGCCGCCCAGTGATGCATATGTGCGGCAGGTGGGCATTAAAGCAAACGTTTTTGCTGCCACACGCATGTGTTCTGCAGGCGCCAACAGGGTTACGTAATAGGGGACGCCAAGTCAAGATAGTAAGTTTAGTACACATAGCCTCTGACCTCTGCCTCATCTGTGCCTTGACATCTATAACCACAGGTCCAGGCCCATGTAAATACTGCTTTGTGTGTACAGAGTCTGTCTGCAGTCTGCACTGTACAGTGTAGGTCTGAAAATAAGAATTGAGATCAAGGAGGGCCATTGTCCCACACGCCTGCGTCATGCAA